TGGTCAACATCCACTACTTTACCAATTGAGCCAACTTACTTGAACCTTTTTTGCCTAATTCTACATCAACCAAATCTTGATCCAAAAGGACATAGTTTATTGTTCTTTTGGTTAGGCCAACCTTTTAGTTCTAAAATGGCTGCTTGCATATCACATGCATATACTTTCTATCTAATGATGGATTGATGGATGGTAAAGATCTTATAGCTATTAGTGGATGGTAAAGGTCCACTTCAGTCTTAATAAATGGCCTAACACTGAATTTGACTATTTTGGGTGATGAATCAGAAAATTCTATTAACAAGAAAAAGAATGATGAACCATAAATGAAAGGTTTGTTTTTTTTTTCTTTAGTAAGAATGTTTCATTTCATTCTTGTCAACTTATGCATTTGGGAAGCCCAACACCCTGTTATATTATATATGGTGTTGCATGTTTCTGGTTGATAAGCAAATGTATAACTGAGGTCATTACCTTTTCTAGTCAATATTGTAATTCTATTCAGTATTTGTGAAGCGTAATATGATTAGGGTTGTATCCAGAAACCTTTAGTGCTTCTCCTAAGTAGGGCCTTTTGTTTAATTGTTTAATTCATTTAGTGCTTCTTAACTATCAAAAACCTTTAATGTTAATTAGAGCTAGTAAATTCTATGTTCTCCATAGCTATTAGAAACCTTTAATGGCATATAGTGTTATCAAATGCATCTTATTTCAATAAGATTATATGCATGATTTTTTTTTTTGAAAACCATGTTCATGGTTATTTTTGTTTGTATATTGAAAACCATGTTCACATAGTAATGTAAATTTTTTTATTTGTTTTGTTGTTTTGTTATAGATATGTCACATAGCACATCTAAAGATGCAAAAGATAATGCCAAATGGTCAAAAGAGGAGGAAAGGATAATTATTGAATTAATGGTTGAGCAATGCAAAAAGGGCAAAAGGAAAACTATTACCTTTACCTTCGTTGGTTGTAAAGAAATCCAAAGGGATTTTATTAGGAAAACAGGGTGCAACTATATAGATATGCAACTGAAGAGTAAATTTCAAAAACTACGAAGTGTTTATAAGGAGTTCAAGAATGCATGCAAACAAATAGGTTTTAGTATGGATCCTTCTACGAAAATTATTTTGGTAGATGATGATGTATGGGAGGTCTACGTAAGAGTGAGTCATATGTGTATTGTGTTTCAATTTTCATAAAGTATTAGTGGGTTAAAGATATAATTTATGTAATGACATTTATCCATATAGGACCATCCTAATGCAAAAAATTTACAATCACATGGATGTCCATTATGGAATGAGCTTTGCATAATCTTTGGTGATACCACTAAGATAAAAGACACTCTTGATGCAGAGGGTTGGGTTCCCCAGATAAAAACACTACTGATGAGTACCAAACTACACATACTAGGTTGGGTTCTCCATATCCCATGCGTACATTAGCTGCAACAGATAATTCTAATAGTGGGAAAAGACCAATATCTCCAAAGAAAATCATTACCTCAAAAGGCTAAAAGAACAAGAAAGTCAACAATTTGAAGGCTTTTGGTGAAACTTGTAAGGCATTCATTGCAGAGTCAATGTACCATATGAATAAAAATCGTTAAAAGAGTATATCGTGAAAAGAATCTGCCATCAATTCCACCGCCTGACCCATATCCACTTAGTAAGTGTATTGAGGTTTAAAATGGTGTATTAGATTTAGATCCAATATTATATGGGAATGCAGTGAATTTGTGCATGCATTTACATTGAAGAGTAGTCATTTGCCAAGTTCCTGGAAAACTACTAACTCATGTGATTGAATCTGCAAGGGAGCCATAATGATGAAATGACTTAATATATTTTACTATATTTTGTTTACTACCTTGTTAAACATTGGATTTTAGTTTTGTTTAGCTTGTTTCTAGACATTGTATTTCAGTTTATGGATATTATCTAGTGAACACCATATTTTAATTTTGTTTAGTATTGTTACACGCTATATAATATCTTGTTGAACAATATATTTTAGTTTTATTTGGTATTGTTAAACAATATATAATGGTAGGATGTGATTTAACAAGATGAATCATAATGGGAAACTTGACGATGAATGCATAATTGATTATAATAGTGATGGAGCAAGTGATGATTGAGATATAAGAAGATGACAATTTATGATGCTCTATCATATGAGAATGACATATGATAGTATTTATAATAGACAAGTTAAAACGCCTGATAGAGATAGGGGATTCAAGTTCATGCGAGATATCTTAAATGGGCATGAAATACCACCTATTAATGTTTTCCGTATGAAAGTACATATATTTCGTAGTCCCTTTTTAGTTTTAACACAAAATGAGTGGGCTAAAAATACGAGGGATTTCTTTGTAAAACAACAAATAGAAATTTAACACAAATTTTATCAAATAGGATGGTAACAAAAATCTTTTAACACTTTGAAGAAATTATTCATCGCCACTTTAAAAGGACGTTGAAGGCTCTTTTGAAATTAGATCGTGATATTATTGCTCCAATCCAATATGAAGGTGTTGTGTTAGAAATAACATGGGATTTAAGTTATTTTTCATATTTTAAGGTGTAAATTTTTTTAATATTTATTCATTGTTATTTTTGTTAAAAAATATTCTAATATTTTTATGTAAAATAGGATTGTATTGATGCTATTGATGGAACACATATCAATGCTTGTGTTTAAGTTGACCAACAAATCCAATATTGTGGTTGAAAGATTATGATAAAACAGAATGTGTTATGCGCTTACTCTTTTGACATGCATTTTGCATTTGTGTATGTTGGATGGGAAAAGTCAGCAAACGACTCTAGAATTTTCACGAAAGCATTAACAAGGCCTAAAGTTGAGTTCTCTATGCATCCAAGTTGTATGAAAATAATTTTATGTTCAATTTTAATTATATAGAATATAAAATTTAAGAAAAAATTGTATAATTTTATATATTTGTATTTATTGTGTTTTAGGTAAATATTATATAGTGGATTCAGATTTCACCACCATTACCTAATTTCTCATCCTATTTAAAAGTGATTGTTATCATTTGAAAGAACATAGGACAATGAGATGATGGTTGAAAGATGCCCGTGAACTGTTTAACCTTCATCATTCATCATTTTGTAATGTAATTGAGTGATGCTTTGGAGTGTTAAATAAACATTTTCAAATTTTGAACCACATGAAACCTTATAGTATTGACACACAAAGGCACATAGTCATTGCATGTTGTACACTTCATAATTTCATTAAGTAAGAAACATTACTTGATCAAGAATATTTATTGTTAGAATATATAAAAAATAAGAGATTGTCAAAGATAACAACACGGTTGCATCATCAAGCACACAAACACTAAATTTAAGTGCTCATGATTGAGATGAAACAATAAAAGGTTAAGGAGTCATATTGCTAACCAGTTGGCCAATAAATATGGATATGAATGACTTCCAACACGTTGATAAATAAATTTAATGAAACTAATAGACATTTTAAACTTCTTTATATTACTCATTTTTATGTTATACATTGCTTCTTTTCATTTTTTTATATATATTTTTTAATGCTACAAAAGCTTCTCAAGTTTTTTTGTCCTTTTTCATATTTTGTTATAGATGTGGAGCCCACATGATCCATATATATATATTTTCCATCGAGTGTTGTATAGGGGTATCAATTGGATTGGATTTGGTCCAATTCAATCCAATCCAATGTGAGTATATTATAAATGGACCAGGTTCAATCCAATCCAATGAATAATATGGACCATTTTGGACCAGTCCAATTCAATGTCTAGAATGTCCAATCTATTCAAATTCATTTTGATTTAGATTGGTTTCAACCCAACCTTGGTCCATCATCACCTATATTCTTACCTTATATCAATAGATTAGATATTGGCTTAATCTAACCCAATCAACCTATATTCTTTAATGAAACGTTATTTTGCTGATTATTTTTCTCAATCAACCAAATTTTAACATGCCAATGATCAAATATTTTTATTTTGATACATTACATAATCGAAGATTAAAAGAAACAGTATTAGGAAAAATATATGAAAAAAATAATAGTTGAGCTTTTTAGATAAGAAACTTCCATAGAAAATATTAGATGTTTTTACTTTTTAAGACCTAAAACAATTGATATTCAAAAATACTAGCCAGTAGCCAATGCAAGTAAAGAGTTTGGATCTCAGTCACACATAGAGAATATCTCATCCTCTGTATAATATTATGTAAGGGGAGGTGTTTTCCATTCACGGGGATTGTGTATTGTAAATAAACGTAGACAGGAGATCCGGACTCGGCAAACAAACGGAAGGGGATATTTTCAAACCAACAGAAAATCCAAGGGCTATTATTCTTGTAAAAATTGAAGGCCGAAGTTGAAAACTGTCAAGGATACAAACCCATCTTACACCATACACCTGGAATATTGCTGGTCAATATGGCTCCATACTTAGTTATATATCAGATGTGTGGTGTGAGATGGATTCGTATTCCCTGATATTCTTTTTTTTTCTTCCTTATCTTTTATTTTATTTGTCAGTAACAGTGACACAGACATTGTTTATCAAATCAATGACCAACCACCAGACCCACCAGGCCCACCAAGGTACCACTTGCCTTTGGACTTCATTTCATAAAATCTGAGGACGGATACGTCATTTTGTAAATCATAAAGGGTACGGAGAAGGAAACGGCAACATCCACGTATCAGTCAAAAGTTAAGGTCCAATAGAAGGGGCCCACATACATTTCAAAACAGAGGAGAGAGAGAGAGGAAGGAGAGGGAGCGAGCAAAAGAGCAGATTGAGAACAAACACAAAGGGAAACACAAAGGAGAATGCGAAGCGTAATGAGCGAATAGGGTGAGAGTACACGGATCGATGACGTGGCATAAATTTTCAATTGCCCGCCCAAACCCGGATTTCAATTCGGCTCTGATTCAATTTTAATTTTTTCGTTTCCGACCTTCTTATCCCCCCTCGCCTTTCGCTCTTCTCACACACACACTCATACAACAAACAAACCTCTCCCTTTCTATCTATTCTCTTTCTCTCATTTCTCTGAACTCTATCCTTTGCGTTTGTGAAACCCTAACCCTAAAGGTAACCGATTCCGAACGAGTTCCACCGATTTTCAACCGATTTCTGATCGATTCTCACCGATCCGATCGTTTTTTCTGCAGGATTCGCCATGAAAGGAGGCAAATCCAAGACCGAGACTAAAAGGGCGGACTCTAGGTAAGTTTTCGTCATCTCGCCGCTTCCTTATTCTGCCTTATCATAGCTTAGGCGCGTAGGTCTGGATTTCAACGCTTCAGATCTTAGATCCGTTCATTCTCGTATCTTGACCGGGAACATCTTTTTTATTTCCTCCATTTTCATTGTTGTCACCTGTTTAGGCTTTCTGTGAAGAGTAAAGCCGTTGGAAAGGACAGGAATCCGAAGAAGTCGTCGAAGAAGGAGAAGGCAGCGAAGGATCCCAACAAGCCTAAGAGGCCTGCCAGTGCTTTCTTCGTTTTCATGTAAGTTATATTCTCGACCGCTCCAGTGGATCTGCTATTTCTCCCTACACATATTTTTCTTCCCGGGTAATTGAAATCTCGAGCGTCTGATTTTGTCTCCCAGGGAAGAGTTTCGGAAGCAGTACAAGGAGAAGCATCCGAACAACAAATCCGTCTCCGTTGTAAGTTATTACTTCTCCGAAGATCAAATAAATCGTCATATTGATCGTATTTACGTACTTTTTGGCGAGTTTTAATTTCCGCATATATTTGCTGAAAAAAATAAATCGACAAATTATAGGTTGGCAAAGCTGGTGGAGATAAATGGAAGGCGATGTCAGAAGCTGTAAGTGATCCCTCTCAGGAAATAAAAACCAATCGAAAAATAATCTCTCAATTAATATTTTATTAATAATTGTTTTAATTTTTTATCTTGTGCACAGGATAAAGCTCCATATGTAGCCAAGGCGGAGAAAAGGAAGGCCGAATATAACAAGAGTTTGCAGGCTTACAACAAGAGAAAGGTACTCTTGAAGTGTTTGAAGCTGATTTTAATGGAAATTGTAGTGATAAAAATCTTTATTTTTTGTATATTTTATATTCAATAATTTATTTTGGTATTTGTTATATTTAATAATTTGAATAAAATAAAACAAAAAATCATTAGGCGGAGGGAGTCGATGCGGCCGAGGATGCTGAGGAATCTGACAAGTCGAAGTCGGAAGTGAACGACGATGAAGAAGAAGATGACGAGAGTGGAGATGTCTGATTTCTTTATTAAAAACCTTTCACTATTTATTTTTTTATTTATATAAAATAAATAAATTATAATTTTTTGTTTTCTTTTACAGGAGGAAGACGACGAGTAGAGATCTGTAGGCGAATGAAGGCTAGTGTGTAGGAAGTGTAGTGTAGGATCGATCTTTATTCGATGTTACTCAGTCATAAAAAAAGGAAGAAATAGATGCTCGTTTTTTTTTCCCCTTTTATCCTGTTGATCTGAAAAAGAAGACATTAACGGAGCTTTCCAAGGAGCTCAAAAAGCCCATGCCCATCCTTGTACTTATTCTCGCTCTTTTGCTTTAATGGATTCAGCTTAGGGTTTAGGCCCTCGTAGTCCTCCTGTTCACTTTGGCTTTCAATGTACTGTTTGGCCCGTCTTCTTTGTTAATTGTTTAACTAATCTTCCGTTAGAAGGAAAATTGTACACTGTTTGGGTAGCTATTTGAGATCTGACGTTTAAACTAGACAATTGGTATTTTAATTGAATAAATATATAGTTTTGTAACAAATGGGAACTGAACGGAAGTCGTCGAGAAGATATTTTATTGTTTTTCTTCCAATGGGTTCGTGGCTTGGGCGAGACCCGGTTCTGAAATCTGAAGTTTGAAAGGTGTGTTGTACGTTCAATCGCAGTGTACGATTTAGCCGTTAATAATTTGACGGTTGTCAAAGGATGGCTGGAGATTGTTGTCGATTTCGCCGTTAGCCGTTAATACCCGTTTGCCTCGTTTGGTGTCGGCATTATTTTCCGCAATTTAAGATGAAAGCAGCTTCTTACCTTACTGTTTCAGGGTTCTACCTCTACTTGGCATCTGATTTGTGCCGGTAAAAAACAGAATGGCCTTGAAAGGTCGTGACTCCTGCCATGTAGAATTTGTCCATGCATGTTATACATGACGACCGCCTTCTCTGTATTTGGTCAATTTTGCTGGGTTACTTTATAAAAAGCAATTAAGGAATTATGTTCATTCGAATAAAATCCATGGGCCTATTCTTTTAAAATATTTTTACTTGACCTATGTTTGGCTTGAAGGAAAAGATTGGGAAAAGAAAGCTATAATAAATGACCCTTTAAATTGGGATCTGCAACTTGAGTGCTCTGCACACCGACTTCTTGGCAGTGATGTTAATTGGACTGGATTTGGTCCAATTCGATTCAGTCTAATCTGAGTCTATTACAATGGACTTGGGTTCAATCCAGTCCGATGAATATTTTGCACCATATTGGATTGGTCCAGGTACTGTCCAATATTGTCTCAATATTGGTTTCAACTTAAAATTGACACTTGTGTTCTTCTATCTCTGGATTAGATATTGTCTCAATACAATAAAATTAATTATGGATGGACCAGGTCCAATCCAATATGTTGTAGTGGTCTGTCTAGTTTATCCAAATTTAATATGTTTTATTGGTCCATCCAATCTGTCCAAATTGATTTTGATTTAGATAGAATCCAACTCAAAACCGGTTCATTGATACCCCTATTTAGTTACATTCCACTTGTGTATTGGGTACATTTCCCATGAATAATAACATGTAAGTATGGGAGAAGTTCTTATGTGCAGTTGATACATGATGTGAGGTTGAGTTCTCCACTTGTGTTATTCAGCATAGGGTTCACATCTCCGCCCCACAGCACATCCCTGTTGTGTATTGGGGGCATCTCCCAATGATAGTACCAGTTTTGATAATGTCATCATTGGAAGATGTTTCCACTACACGGCGGGGATGTGCTGTGGGGCGGAGATGTGAACTCTAGCATAGATGGGTTGATTTTGGTTATTACTTGTTTTGAATCACCTTGAAATGATTATTTTATTAAATAGTTATAATATATATTTTTAACTTTTACAAATTTCATTATATTTTAAATTTGTAGTAATAAATTTGATTGATAATAAATAAGATAATATTAGTTAAAAATGTTTAATTTATTTACATATAAATACTTTTGTATTTTTCTGTCATTTTATTCAAGTTATGTTATCATACTTTAAATTTTTAGTTATTGAAATAACTATTTTTTTAGAATAACCAGGTATGAACTCGTTAGAGATAACTATTAATTGGGATGGTTTTGGGTTTATAATTTTGTTTGGATTAACAATTGGTTCTACCTAGGGGGGTGTTTATAAAAAACTGAATAATCGAAACAAACTGAGAAAATCGATCTGGAAATTGCGGTTAACCAAATCAACCGGTTTGGTATTTCTGAAAAATCGAAGGACTAATTCAGTTTTTGGTTTGAAAAAGCGGTGATTAATCGAACTGACTGGTATGTAGACATGTTCATGGGCTGGGTGGCTTGACGGCCCAACCCTTTATAAGTCGATCTTGGTCATAATTTTAGGTCAACAGGCTCAGTCTTTCTCAAAAAAAACCTGGCCCAAGCCTGATCCCGACATGATACTATATTAAATAATAAAAAATATATATACAATAATTTTTCTTTGTTCTCATTTTTTTTTTCAAGCAATAGTGAGATGCTTATTATTTTTTAGTTTTGAAGCTTTTTAATATAAATAAAACATTTTTTTATTGAATAAAAAAAGAACAAAATTTTCTATTTTCAAATTTCTGGCTGGGCTTGGGCCTGAATGTATTCTGTTGATACATAGACAAAGCCTGGCCCGAACAGGTCTACCTGTATATATATTTATATGTATATTATATATATTTATTATATGTCACATATTATCTGTATATTATATATATAATTATGTATTTATAAATATATTATATATTATATATTTGTATAATATTTATAAAAACCTTGTTTCTTCGGCATCCATTAACCGGTAGTGGAATTTGGCAAGATTACTTCCGGGGGTGGTTTCTTCATAACAAACATTACAGGTGCATTGATTGCTCCAAATCCAATGGATCCTCTACCTGGAAGACTAATTGCAGACTTATGTATTTTGTTGTTGAACATTCTATCTGGATATTTCGGTTAGTTGAAATCTCCTTTTGGTATGATAAATGGTGTGACGAGGGTCCTCTTTGCTTATTTAGTAATGAAGAGGTAGATCCCTCCATCACTGCAACATGATCCTTGATGAGGCTGCTACATGAGATTGGTCTAGACTCGACACCCGCTTAGGCGATGAATAGCCAGTGGTGTTACACTATCTAATGGCGATGATAAATGGGATATAGGCGCCTTCTAATTCTGGTATTTTCTCCTATAAATGGATCTATTTAGCGAACAGGATTCTTAGTTAGATGACAGACGTGTAGGCAGATACAACTCGTTCATATCCTCATGAAAGGTAATTCAGTAGTAGATGCTCTAGCTAATTTTGCCTGTGATCAAATCAATAGTTTTATTTTTAATTGTATGGTGGAATTCACAGCCGCTTGACAGTTTTTGTCTTTTGAATTGCTAAGAAATTCATATTCATATGTGGGGATTAGTGAAAGTTTATTTTCTTGGGTATTAATGAGGGCAGATTTAGCCCTCCAGTAAAATTGCAACACGTGGTACCTCGTGACAACTAGGCAAGCACCCAGGCAA